CCAGCCTCACTACTGTTTCCATGCTTGAATCCATCGGTGCTGACACTTGGCCAATCCATCTCACTGGGGGTCTTCCTCTTTTTCTCTGACCCTCCACCTTACCAAACATGATATCCTTCTCTAGTGACTAGTCCAAAGTATGAGAGACAATATGTCCAAAGTATGAGAGACGAAGGTCGGCCATCTTGGCCTCTAAGGAGCACTCTGGCTGCACTTCGTCCAAAACGGATCTATTGGTTTTGGCAGTCCATGGCACTTTTAGTATTCTCCTCCAACACCATAACTCAAAGGCATCAATTCTTCTACGGTCTTCCTTAGTCAATGTCCAGCTTTCGCATGCATATGAGATTACTGAAAATCCCATGGCCTGGAGTCCCTAGGTGGTGGCAAATGGTTAACCTGCTCAGCTGCTCATCAGAAAGCTGCAGTCTGGAGTCTGACCAGAGGCACTTTGGAAAAAAAGGCCTGGCAACCTGCTTGTGAAACATCAGCCACTGAAAACCCTGAGGAGCACAGTACTACTCTTGACACATACGGGGTTGCAGTGAGGCAACATTCACTCCTGGGCAACTGGTTTAGGCAGTTCAGTTACAACAGCGAATTGACAACATTTGTTGTTGTTGCTGTTAAGTGCCATCCAGTTGGTTTCATCTGATAGTGACCCTGTATAGGGTTTCCAAGGAGTGGCTGGTGAGTTTGAACTGCCAACCTGGTGGTTTAAGCTGACCTCATGGCCGAGTGCTTCTCCTACAGCAGCACAAACATAGCTGTTACTAAACTCACCACCATCAAGTTGATTCCGGCTCACAGAGACCCTCTAGGGCAGAGTGGTCCTACCCCATAGCATTTTTAAGGCTATCAGTCTAGACAGGAGCAGACTGTCACATCTTCTCCTGCAGAGCTGTTAATGGGTTCAAACCAACCTTTTGCTTGCAGTTGAGCACTTTAACCAGGTGCTTACCAGAGATCCTGATATTACTACATTTAGTTAAACACACACATCAAAAGGTTCATGGAAAAATGCCAGTATCTTTCAGTTCCATTTTTCCATGAACCTTCTGAAGCTCCCTCGTGTGTGTACATATATGTATAAATAGAAGTATGTGTTGTTGTTGTTAAGTGTTATCAAGTATGTTCTGACTCATAGTGACCCTGTATAGAGTTTCTTATGAGTTTCTGGGGAGTTCGAACCACCTACCTTGCTGGTCAAACAGACTTTTAGTGCATTATCCTGGAGCTCCACACCAGGGACTCATGTATGTGTGTGTGCATTCGGTTCTTTAACATTATAACAGTGCCCTACTTAATTTCTATAAGTCTTAGTATGCTTCTACAACAAACTTGCAGATAATGCCAACTCTACTAGGCTGTTGCAAGAAGTGACGAAGGGGTTCTAGGAAGTAGTAAACACATGACAGGTCACAGCTCATACAAAGTCTGACAACAAACCCCTTTCAGGAAACCAGAACTCCAAGAGTACTTCCAACCCACAGATTTTAAGTCCTTGAAAGATGTGGGAAAAAAAAGGTTCAATAAATGTACTGAATTCACATAGCACCAAACTGCAAAGCCATTTGAACTTCAAGATTGGCAGTTCAAGCTCACCAGCTGCTCCTCTGAAACCATATACAGCTTCGCTATAGGTCAGAATTGACTCGACGGCATTTAACAACAATATCTTATCAAATAGTTGCTTGGTGGTTGTGCTGGTGGTGTACTGTGGAGTTAGTTCCGACTCACAGTGACCCTGCGTAGGGTTTCCGAGGCTGGAAAGCTTTACAGGAGCAGAAAGCCTCATCTTTCTCCTGCAAAATGGCTGGTAGTCTCGATTTGTTGACCTCGAGGTTATTAGCCTGATTTGTAACCACTATGCTACCAGAGTTTTACCTTTATTATTAGTTATTAAGTGCCAACAAATTGGTTCTGACTGACACTATAGAGTAAGCACTAGATTGCTAACCATAAGTTTGGCAGTTCAAAACAACCAGCCACTGCTTGGAAAATCTATACAGTGTTACTATGAGTTGGAACCAACTGTTGTTGTTATGTGCTGTGGAGTTGGTTCCGACTCATAGCGACCTTGTACAGGGTTTCTGAGGTTGTAAATGTTTACGGGAGCAGAAAGCCTCATCTTTCTCCCACGGAACAGTTGGTAGTTTCGAACTGCTGACCTTGCGGTCCATAGCCCTATTTGTAACCACTACACTCACTTAATTAACAACAACATAACGTTTCTGAGAAGCAGCTGGTAGTTTTGAACTGCCAACTTTGCAGTCAGCAGTTCAATGCTTATCCTACAGAGCCACACCATGGCTCCCAGAAAAACTGGCTTATATACAAGGATTGCCACAGGTACCCAGTAAGATAAAACAAGAACTTGTAGGTCAAAGGAGATACACTTTGGCTCAGTATGAGGTAAAAAAAAAAACAACCTCCTAAATTTCCAAAACATTTCCAACCACCCAATAACACAGTGGGCTTCTGTAGTAGGCAGGATAGTGGACTCACCCTTCCCCCAAAAGACGTCCATGTTTTACCCTCCTCCTACAAATCTGTGAATATGGTATGCTAGAAAGTGTGGCTCTGTGGGATAAAGAACTACACTGCAAGGTAATTTAAACCACAAAGTCGATGGTTCAAACCTACCAGCCGCTCCTTGGAAACAGGATTACTGTGCATTGGAGCCAACTCAACTGCTCTTAACAACAACAAAAAGTAAAAAGAGAATTAAGGTTGAAGGTGGAATTTAGTATGTCAATCAGCTGATTCTGAAGAGGGGACATTATCCTGGATTATCCAGGTAGTCCCGGTGCAATCATAAGGGTCCTTATCATTAAGACGGAAGCAGAAGTGCACGTCAAGACTAACGTGAAGTAATACTGAACCAAGCATGATTTCCTGACTGTAAACCTCTGAGCTGCCCCTTAAACCTTCACTCAATCAGTTCACAATAAAAGCTTAAAAAAAAAAAAAAAAAATTTATATATTGGTATATATTTTTTGGATAAAAACGTGCCAATGACCTTTAAAGTTTTTAATTCTTTATACTAAAAGTATGCCATAAAGACATTTTGCTCAAATGCAAATTTTATTATTATTATTTTATTAACAAAAAGACAGTAGTCAAGTTTTAAAGTTTAACTCTTTCATTCAGGCACATAATTTCCAAGTACTGCCAACTGCCTAATTGCTTGCATGCACCTTTGAGACACTAAAAAGACAACGACTTTTAGCAAAGATTAATGGATTTGTTAGTTTTGCAATAAAGGATTCATCTGACCAAAAAAAAAAACAAAACCAGATTGAACCAATCATTGCTGTGTTTGAAGATGGAAGGGAGCCAGGAGCCAAGAAGCAAGAACATCTCTAGGAGCTGGAAAAGTCAAGGAAAAGGAGGTTCCAGAGGAACCTCCAGAGGAAGCTTGATTTTTGCCAGTGAAATCCGTTTTAGACTCCTGGCTTCCACAATAGTAAGATAATAAATCAATGATGTTTTAAGCCAATAAATATGTCGCAGCAGCAATAGAAAACCAACAACAGCTTTCTCGTAATGTAGTTCCCACTCTTTACAGAGGACGTTCAAGCAGAGTTAAACAAGTTGTTCATGTTGTGTGTTGTGTGTAGTGGTGGTGGTGGTGGGAGGGGGGGTAGCAGAGGTAGAATGTC